AGTGTAGTGTGTGTGTAGTTAGTGTACGTGTGTGTGTGTAGGTGTAGTAGTGTGTGTGTGTGTGTGTGTGTGTCGTGTGTGTGTGTGTGTGTGTGTGTGTGTGTGTGTGTGTGTGTGTGTGTGTGTGTGTGTGTGTGTGTGTGTGTGTGTGTGTGTGTGTGTGTGTGTGTGTGTGTGTGTGTGTGTGTGTGTGTGTGTGTGTGAGTGAGAGTGTATGTGTATATAAAATATATACATGTGTATCTCACATACCTGTGCATAGGGCATACTTCCACTCTCAAACCAGCAGTCAAAGACCTCCTCCACACGCCTTAGCACACCGCGCCCCGTCTTTGAGGGGATGGTGAGATGATCGATAGAGTCTCTGTGCAGATCAGAAACCTTCTCGCCACAGAGCTCTTCGAGCTCGGCTATGGAACCAATGCACACCATCTCCTCATAGTCCTCAGACACCCAGATGGGAAGAGGGGTACCCCAGTATCTGCGTGTAGTGGACGTGTATATGTAGGTGTGTGGGTATCGCACTTCTGGACAAAAGAGGTGTGTGGATGTAGACGCGACCACCTGTATTGCACAGCCGTGAACAGAATGGGCGAGATTACATTCTGCATTGAAATATTCGACTACTGTTTACGTATTTGATCTGTCTTATCTATCTCGTGCGCGGCACTAACCAGCTCGGCAATAACTTCAGTACACATGCTTTCCACATATACGCTACCAGTATATGCTAGACATCAAGGCAGTCCGTATCAAGAAGATACCGCCAAATGAATAACTTTTTCAGCCAAATCCGATCCGATCGACAAATGGTGCCCATTCCATACGTATTTGACATGACTACATAGTTTGCGCGTGATACCAACCAACCCGGCGATGACTCGAGCACAACTGTCACACACCCATGTATACTACAATGCATGCTGGGCATCAAAGATTTCCATTAGTAAAGAAGGTGCAGCTATGTGGATAACTTTTCAATAATATATGGTCTCGTCGATAAGAACGTACACAGTACATACGTAACTCCTAAGGCTTACCTTGTGCGTGACACTGACCAATCCGGGGACGATTCAAGCCAATTCTGGAAGCGAGATTTGCCGACGTACTCGGGCACCCAATGAATGTCCTTGTTGTTGTCGAGAAGTTTCTGCTGAACCGCCTCGACCTGAAAATGAATATATTCCGAATCGTATGAGAACAGATACACACATGCATGAATTTACGATTGCTACCAGTTTCTGATAAATAAAATACATGCATCTCTCTGTTAAGTGTTAAGAAGTTTCTTCGCTTTGAGGCTACATAAATGCAAGGATGTGTACATTTGTTATCGGATGAGGTTTTCTTAAAATTATATGCGTATGTTTCTCGCTTTTGCCATAAGTTTTTTCCGCTTACATAGAAGCGACGGGTATTGATATACACTTCATTAAAAACAAAGAATGCGCAATCATAAAGCACACACAAGAGGAAGCAAACAAACACGTAACAAAATAATTTACAAAATCACATACGCACACAAATACGCAAGCAGTATTGCCGAAACATACGTGCATCCATGTCGATGCGCATATGGATCAAGAGGAGATAAGAACGAACTATGACTGATATGCTATTATATGCTCATCCGACAGTAGTGTGTACGATTAATGGCACCTGTCAGGAACATGCGAGTAGACGAAGCAGAACAAGCGAGGTCCGAAAAGCACCTATGCGCACCTTCACAAACCAGGGAACATTGGCCGTAAACCCACGAGGGTCACTAGTCGCCAGGAACAGGGACAAGAGGGGTGTCTAAGCGCCAGCAGAAAGACTAATTATAAATGCACAAACGCCACGGCCAGTACTCTTACGCACATCCCGGAGATTACTTGCCCATGATTTATATATATATTGACATACCTTCACAAACCAGGAAGGAATGGCTTTGTAGATAAGAGGGGTATCTGAGCGCCAGCAGAAGGGGTAGTTATGAACATCCGTGCCCTGATGCACCATGCGCCCCATGGCCTTGATTGCCTTAGAGATGTCCTTATCGCATTCCTTCACGTGTCGTCCAACATAGTCGGAGACCTGTATATATATGACAGACGAATGATAGTATGTACAACTAGTAGGTGAAAAGTGGATATATGATAGATATTAGTATATATGTATATATATATATATATACAAATGCTATATATATATGTGCGTGTGTGTGGGTATATAAATATATATATATATAAATATGTATACATGTATATATATATATTTTATATATATGAATATATATAAGTATGTATGTATATACATATAAATGTCTCCATATATGTATATATATATGTACATATATATATATATATATATATTTATGTATATATATATATATTTATATATATGAATATATATAAGTATGTATGTATATACATATAAATGTCTCCATATATGTATATATATATGTACATATATATATATATATATATATATTTATGTATATAATATATATTTATTATATATATGTATATATATACACATATATGTATACATATATATATATATAAATATATTTATATATATATATATAGCCTTCAAGAAGCAATGGAAGACATCAGGTGTCAAATGCTACAAACCAGCATATGTGCTTTTTCGGACAAGAGGGATTGTTGAGTATTGAAACGAAGGCTATAAATGAGGATTGCATTAAAAGGGGGGCAGGGATTTGATTACTATTCATAATATCTAGCATTGAAAGCAACATTCCAAGAATACAAGCTGCCTCAATAAAGTCGTTGACATTCAAAATGGCGGCTAAACATTAAAGATACCATATGCAAATGGGTTTTCAACTTGATACCTATAATATTTACATTATACACTACCTGCAGAGAATATATCACTAACCTCTTCTGTGTACCGTCCGGACATGTCAACGGGACAGGGCAGCTCGCCTCCCTTGAGAATGATACCGGCAGCCATACAAACGCGGTAATCGTCCTCTCCGAATCCGGGCGCGTTGTGAACGATACCTTCGTATACATAAGTGTTTGAATATACTCATATATTAGATATCACTAATATTGTAGTATAAAATGGGTCTCACCGCATGCATACTTACTAGTATGAGTACACAATTCGTACACTCTACTCGCGCTCATGGCCGTGGGCAGAAGTATCGTCGGTGAATGTCAACAACACGTCAAAAGCTCTGTTTATATCACTAGGCGAAGACGAGCACACCCGGGCAATGTAATCGCAGGAACTAATATCAGTACACAGCACTAAGCAGGAGAATGTACGGGTGCCAGATTATACGATTGTACGATGGAATGTTTATAATAATAAAATACATATTCCGCCTCTACTCTCTACTCTCAGTCCTTCGCACCACATACACAACATAAACGTCTCAAGGTACAGTCATCAGCATGTATATGCTCTGATCAGGTCTGTGTATTGAACTCTCATTGGCTTAAGTCTACTCTACCTATCGTCTCATACACGCTCCACGACGATTCCAGAGTCTTTCATGGTGATTTGTTATAACCTTAGACTACTTGCTCACTGACCTTTACATTCCAAACCCTGAATCAACTACCACCACACGTCCTATACCGGTCCCAAAGTTCACCGTGATGAAGTTGCCCAGAACTACTTTAAAACAATTAAACCTTCGCCTCTAGACCGCCAAATATATCAACTTTGCTATGCGAATTTACGCTACATTATTTGTCTAATGCTATGCGCAGACTCCTTAAACCTAAAGTGTACACTCTACTCCCTACTCGCTACTCTTCAATCTACTCCCTACTCTACTCTTTACTCCTTATCCACTACTTCCTACTCTACTCTTTACTCCTTACCCACTACTTCCTACTTTACTCTTTACTCCTTACCCACTACTCCCGACTCTCTATTCCTTAAACCTCCACACTTCGCCTATGTAGTAGTCGGATACGATGTGCTAAATCACTCAAAAATAAACCCTAGACCTTGCATAAGACATTGTTGCACTTCACACTATAACATTTCACCAAGGACTAAAGCCTAAACTCTACAAATAACACCCACGCTCTGCACCCCAATTCACATACTTCGCCTAAGCCAACCCATTTAAACCATAAACCCTAAAATCTGCATCTGACACACTTGCACTTCACACCAGAACACTTCACCTGAGCTAAAACCCAATAATTTAGACCCATGCACTTCACATCAACATACACACTTCGCCTACGCCAAATCCCTAAACCCTAAACACTACATCGGACACTCGTGCACTTCACACCAAGACGATTCAGCTAATTTAAATCTCTCAACCCTAAAACCTACATCTGATACACATGTCCTTTGAACCAACACACTTTCACACACCAGTTCCGGAGTCTGCCGTGACGTAGTTGTCTGACACGATGCGGAATGCACCTTGGGCCTTCATATGCTTGAAGTACGGGAACATGGGCTCGTAGGTTTTACCCTTCAGCGCTGTCATCCAAATAGTGTACCGAGCGTGTGTATCGATCATGGGTGAATTGAAGTAGAGATGAATACATATCGATAAAATCCAATTTCATAAATATAGACATAACAACCATATTATATATATATATATTTAGAGAGAGAGAGAATG